AAAATAAACAAACTTGGTAAAATCTGATAAATTGCTGCAAACCAGAACATTAAGTTCATTGTGTTTTCAGTTTCTAACATTTTATTCATTTTTAAAAATCATATTCAGATTACATGATAAAAATAATGTTGTACATTTAGTAGGAGTCTATAAAAAAATATAAAGACATATTTATTCTGATATTCAAAATGTAACTAGGTTCAGTTATATTATTCAAATATTTCATCCTAAAATGATACCAGAATAATAAAAACAAATGTTCCCAACATTAAACACATTTACAATAAGAAGAATTAAATTTACATCAAAATTCTTTATCTTAAGACATATGTAAAATAAATTCATATGTAAGTATATACAAATATATGCATCCAACCTGGAAATTGCAGATATTTTCATATGATGTGTAGTCAGAAAAAAAGAGTTTGTACTTTGTATTAAACAAAAGTAGTAAAGGCACCAAAGCCCATGACCATGTGTGTTTAAGTAACATTTAAAAATTGATAATAGAACTAAAAAAGCAGAAAATAAGATATGTATTGACAGGGGTGGCACTTCTTACCCCCAAAACACCCAACATCGGCAGCATTTTGTTTTTTTTGGCCTTGTGTCCTCTTCCATTTTTTTTTCAACACTGTTTTATAGCCATCTGCATTTTTTTTATTGTTTTTAAACTGATGTTATATCATAAGTTTGATGTAGTACACTTGAGACACAACCTTACATAAAAAAGAAAAAAAAAATATATTTTTCTCTCTTTCTCTCTTTCTCTCTCTCTCTCTCTCTCTCTCTCTCCTTATGTCTCCATTATTTTATCTCTCTCGCTCATATTTCTCTCTATCTCAGTACTAAGTTTTTTTCTTTTTTGTGACATGGAGACAATGTGGAAAGGTAGGTACAAGTTAAACTGTTAAAACATCTCAATGAAAATGCATAAAAGCATTTATTTAACTATGAATCATATTAAAGGAAGTGTTTTTTGTTTTTGTTTTTTTTTCTGTGCAAATGTATGACAGGACCAAGTGAAAGAGACACTAGTAGGTGACATTAAAAATCATGTATCAAGGTAAATTGCAGATTATCTTATTCATCAAACATTTACAGAAAAGTTCTACCACTAGACTACTGCTAACCCAAAGAACCCCTAATTAACCTTAATTTTTCAGTCAAATAAAATGACAAAACACTAAACACATCAGGTTCTTGTATTAACACTGTTTCTTTTCTTTTTTAAGAAAATTCAGTTTGTCGGGCATGTTTTTTCATGTGTTGTGTTGGAATCTTTGTAAAACATTTTTTCCAGCAGAGATGCATTGGTGCTTAATCTTTATGGAAATGTAAAAATTTTCAACTTAAACATTTTTTTCAAGTAAAATTTAGTCATGAAAATATTGGCCGTTATTACAAAAAGAATAACATTTTCTCAGATTTTTTTAAAATAAAAAAACTATTCATTATAAAACCAAATAATGAATATGTACTGAAATTTTCATTTAAATTGGATAATTCCCTGATTTTTGCTAATTAAGAAAAAAAAGTACTGTTATTTTATTTTAAGATATGGAAATAAAAAAGAAAAGAAGAAAACAACCATATGGGAAATGTAAACAAAAACCAATAAAGAACTTAAAAGGAAAGTTGATGTTAGAGATGATCCCAGAAAGTTGTATATACAAGAAAGAAAGAGATAAAGATTTTAAAACAGAAATAAAGACTATAAATAAGGAATATATTGAAAATAGGAAAAGAACTTGAATAAATTAAGAAAATCAAATTTTTATTTAATGATATCTCTATCTATAAAAGGCAGGATGTGTGCGTATGTGTGTAACGAATGCACAGCCATAATTTTCAACAGATTTGCACCAAAATTTACATGCACATGCTCCAAGTTAGCAGGAAGGCCAAGACTGACTTTGCATTTCCCAACTCCCATCGATAGTGGAAATAATCGATTTTTTTCATGCTTCTACGGCAGTTTTCATGTAGTTTGTTGCCATTTTCTACTGGCCAGAGTGAGAGCCTATAGCTGGCCGCCATGAATAGGCAGGAAGATTCTATTGGCCAGCATGAGAGCCAACAGCTGACTGACACAAATGTTAACTAGCATGCTAGCATGCAAAAAAAAATCGATAGCTGCATTTGTCACAAGTGGGAAAAATTTAAATCTGCATGGCACTTTACTCGAATTGCTTGCTTAAACTCAACGTTGATTCTGATTCCGCAGAACTGGGTTGGGTGTGAAAAAGTATTTGTTGTTAACATTCTTTTTTCATTCGGCTTTTCCAGTTACGAGTCCTTTTTTAAAGCTGATCGCTTTGTGTTCATTTTGTTTAGTTTTTTTTTTGTAACAGATTTAATGTTTAGTATAGAGCTTTAAAAAAATTCGCAGTGTGAGATAGGCTAGAAGTAAGGCATGTAGCAACATCAGCACGGCAAAGGGCACTCATTTAAAGGCAAGGAAGGGCAAAAATATTTTAAGTCAAGTGATAGCGATTGCTATATGAGTTGTACGATTTTTGAATCAAGCACGGGCAACGCCGGGGCATGCTGCTAGTTCAGGAATAAATTTATCCCCAGAAAAAAAAATAAATAAATAATATATAATCATGCACATAAATGGCTTAAAATAACTTTCAGCCACACCTATAAGAAAAAGAAAATATCAGAGAAGACTTTTCATTTCTCAATATCATAGACTCTTCTGTCATGTTCAACTTATGAGGATCCAACTGTTCAGTTTCAACAAGACTACCTACAGATATAATTTAATTATAGTGGTGAGGCCTTGTGCAGAATCAGCCACAGTTTTCAGAACTGAATAGAGAGAACTGGTGTACATAATATGCCACAAAGTCTTTAAACAACACCACTCAGGTTTTGAATTCAGAACTATCCTACTAACCTGGTTGTCAACCAAAGATAACAACAAAAAAAACAAAAAAAAAAAACGAGAACTCACACATCCTTATTCTTGTATCATTCTGAGAAAATTAGATGTTCTACCAGGATTCATTATTGACAATCTTAACAACATAAGATGTGTAGATAACACTGTGTTGATAGCAGACATAGAAAGGAAAGTACAAGAACTTCTACAGAAAGTAGTAAAAGAAAGTGAGAAGAAAGGACTAAACATCAATTACAAGAAGATAGAATGCATTGTTTGTTAGCAAAAGGAACAGCTCAACATGCAATTTACAAATTGGAGATACCAAAATGAAAGAAGTACATCAATTTGAATATATGGGAAGTCTTAACAGAGGACAGAAAGTGTGAACACTGAAATCCAAATGTGCATTGGGATAGTGAAAGATGCTTTCCAAAAGTTAAGCAAAGTATTAAGAAATAGAAAAAATTCATTAGAAACAAAGAAAATAGCACTGTACTGTTATGTAATATCAGTCTTCTATGAATGCTGGACAATCTGCCCACAGATGAAGAAGCGACCTTAAACAACAGAAATGTGATTCTACAGAACAATGCATGGACTGAATATGTGAGCAATGAAAAATTTTTAGAGAAAATGAAAACGAAAAGGACACCTATACTTAACATCAGGATACAAGAGCTGAAATTTCTATGGCACATAATGAGGAAAGAGGGTTTAGAAAATTTGATACTCACAGGACATATTGAAGGTAAGAGAGACAAAGGAAAACAGCAAATAAACCTACCTAATCAGCTTGAGTAAATGGATGGCAGAACAGATTTTAAAAGAGTTAACAAAAAGACAAAATTTACTAAGAGTTACAAAGAACAGGAAAATGTGGAGAGCTATGAATACCAATGTTCTGAAGAATCATGTAATATCAAACATTATTTAAGAAAACGTTTTTTTTTAAAAACTGATAACATATGTATCCTTATTTCCATCATTAAAGCTAACCAGGTTAATTTCAAAATCTTAAAATAAAAAATAAAACAATTTTTTAATCATTTCACTTCAAGCAAAGCAATAAAGCTACTAACATTCAAGGGCTTACTGAGTTTGAGAGAATATGCAAAAAATAAAATAATTTTAAGAAGAGAGAACAATAAAAGAACAGGGATTAAGGCAGAAAATAACGATGGACATTGTATTTAAATTTCTAAAGATCAAATTTAACTGGAAAGCAAAAGGCCAGGAGAGATTTCCACAGGTGAGAAGTGTGTGAGAAGAAACTATTAGCATAGAACTTCCAGTTACATCTAGCGGCCATTTTAAAATGATAAGCCCTTGTACTGAATATAGTACTATGCTTAAATTCATAAAGTCTAGATACCAAAGAGGAATGTTCATCAAGACAATTACTATAAAAGTATTTATAGAAAAGGCACAGGAACACTACATTAAGGTAGTGGGAAAATAACTGAAACCAGGATGCCAGTTCAGGACCAATAACATTGCAGATTCTTCTTCGGATTTTACCAACAATTTCTAAATATATAGCAGGATCACCAGACTAGATGTGGCAGAAATATTCAAAGCATGGAGAAATGGTAGTCTTATAAATGTGTAAGATAGATTCTGGCAAGAAAAATTGTCTAGCATGACACAGTGAACCAACTTTCTTAGCAGTTGACCTAGCGATTGATTCAGTATAATCTTTTTACTTCATGTCGGCTCAAGAAGATGCAAAGAGTCACTCTCCTTTTACAAAGAAGAACTCACAATAAAGTTTGATACTAATTTGCCTACATATCTTATACATGTATATAGAGAAAATTATGTACTTCAGTAGTTTCACATCTCCAAAGTTATATATTCATGTTCTAATTAAATACATTTGTGTGTGAGAAATAATCCGTTCATGTTCATTTTGATACGTATTTTGAATCATTGTTGCAAATTATTTTCTTCAATGTTACAATCATCTTTCAGTTGTTGGAAGCATGACATTTTAATTAGTATAGATATAAATCAGTTTAATGAATTAAGTATTGAGTTTTGTATAAAAAAGAAAATGAATATCCAGGAAACATAACCAAATTTCTCAACTTGAAACCAAGATACTTACGCTTTCTCTTGTGTATCCAAATGTTGAACTAATTCATCTCTCTTGTTGACAACAGCAACTAATTCTTCCAGCAAGAGTTTTTCTCTATGCTTTTGGGCATCAGTCTTTTTCCAGTCTGAAAGAAAAAAATACGAATTCAAGTTTTACACAAAGAAAATGTATTTTATCACATTCAAGGATTTTATAGAACAGTTTTAAGTGAGAATTAGATTTTCTGTTTGACTAAATACCTATGGTAATTATACATGTTAATTTGTTGTTTTTTTTTATCTAAGTTCAATGAAGTCATAAGTGCATTTCCGAAACCTATTTTGAACTTTAGAGAAATAGAAAAATAATGCTGTATTAGAAACTATATTTAAATTTGTTTTCAACTGATTTTTATCAAATGTTCTGAAGTTCTAAAATTTTCAAATGATTCATTTATTGTTTGAAAGATTGATTAACTCTAAACTTTTCTTACAGAAAAAATTATTCAGCAACATTTAGCATAATATATTAGTAATTACAATTAATATTTACATTTTAATATAATGAAATTCTTAAATTGTCTTCACTATTCTTCTCGGATTTTTTATGTTATATTAAATGTACTAATAATCTCATTAAAATTCTACTTGTCCCTGCCTTAGTTAGCAAGACCATTATACCCTGCTAATACCTCATGAACTATTCTGTTTTGGAAAGGCTGAAAACACATATCAGAGACACTACTTGGTTTCAGTGAGAAAATTAATTTTTATTCATTATTTTTTTTACTTCTCTTTTATGGTTAATTCAATGGTATTTCTAGCCTTTTTTCACCCCAAGGAAGGTAGTAAAGCCACTGAGAAACAAGGGGTTACTGGGTGTGGACAAATTATAAAACAGAAACATTAAGGAGTGGAAACAAAGGAAGAGTAATCAGGAGGACAGTAGATAGCAATTGACATTGCATTTAAATTTCTTAGTTGGCTGGAAAGCATGGAGCTGGAAGAGAGTTCCATAACTGAGAACTGCAAGAAAAGAAATTGTTAGCATAAAACTTACAGTTACAGCTAGTATATTTTCAATGTTAAAAAACTAGCAAAAAACTTTCTAAAAATGTTTTATTTAAACTGAACTTGTATATACATGCTCAAAAAAGTAAATTTAAGTAAATTCCATTTATCAACATCATGAATGAAGTACAATTTTATGTGCTGAAAACTTCTTTTTAGGAAGTAGTTTATTCCTCTTAAAATTTGACTAAATAACCAAATATTAGATTATTTAAAAAAATTTTTTTTAAGTTTTAAATCCCTTCTTGTTTAAGTTGAGAACTTTTAAGCACCCCTTTATATGCATAAATTTACTGGATTTTATTTATTACAAAAATTAATATATTTTCTACTATAAGTTATTTAAAATAACTGTACCTAATTCTGATCCACAGCCAAAAATCCATCAATTGATAACATAAAATATAATGACAGTATGAAATTAACTTATTACAGTTACTAAATTTTCTTAACTTTCTTTTTTGAAATATTTGATTTTTCTTTTTGATCTTTGACAGATTCAGACTTCTAAAAAATTTTCCTTAAAATTTTTTTTTTTTTTTTAAATGTATTTTCAAGAACTGCAAAAAAAGTCATGATTAGTAATCAGAATAAATGTTGAAACAAAATCATTCTTAATACAGGGTGTGGTAGAAATACATAAGCTAGATGAAGACACTTTTGCCATTAATGCTTTACCATTATGTGGGAGGTAATTATGAGAGATATATGTGGGAGGTATTTCTGCCACACCCTGTAATTTGTTGTGGTCAACAGGATAAATAAAAGTCTGAGGCTTTATTTCAGCTACCAGTTTCATAAAAAAGATCACAAAACACTTTACACAATAAGAATTGACTTAATCTAAAACAATGCTCTTTACTTTGTGACCAGGTCTGTGATTTGGAGATACCCAATAAAGTAAAAATAAAATATACTCACTCACAACTAAAAATTCCTAAAAATAACTACCATAAATATTTTTCAAACAATTTTCTGCTGTGTACTAATTTAGTGTTTCTCCAAGAAAATATTGTGCTTAATGTTTTCTAAGAAATAGTAAAATTTTCCTTTCTTTTTTATAGTAAAACAATTCTTAAGAAACAATATTCATCTTTGAGAATTTAATCTTAAATTCCATTAAATAGAATCACCATGCTGGATATACCCTAAACTTTCAAAATTAATTCACTCACACTCACTAAGTAGGTTATGCATTGTTTTCTTCTGTCACTCTAGTCTTTAATCTGCCCTGTGAGTATCAAATTTTACAAGCCCACTTTCAACATTACATGCCATAGAAATTTCAACTATTTAAATGTAAGTATACTTTCTTTAGCTTTTATTGAATTCAACCAAATCTTTTTCCTCTTCATAACAGTGGCATTTAGTACATCAACAAAATTCTGCTTATATGCCCACTATTAATGGCCTAATAAAAGGAATGGTGGTTAATAATAAGGGTTTGGAAATTTCAAAAATTAATTTCAAAATAACATAGATATTATCTGGACATCTCAATAAGTTACAGTCAAGAAAATGTGTTTGGAAAAAAAAGAAGTTCTTACTTAAATATACAATAACTTACAGATGCACACAACCTTATACAGTTAGAAATATGTCAATTTTTCTCTTTTTCACTGTCTGTGCATGTGTATGTATAAGTATTTAAATACCCATCACTCCATATAAATGTAATAGTTAAATCCTCATAAAAATCATATATTTCAACATGTACACATTTTTATGTCACATCTCTTCACAAGGGATTTTCTTAAACCCTATAAATGCCATCACTTTTCTTATCTAGTAACAAAATAATAAAGAGGAGGAAACAATTCATTGATTGCAACAGAAAAAAAAAGACCACTTATAGATATTATGTTGATACCTGATCAAGTTACAATCAAGATATGATTATTTCAGCCTGAACAAGACAGTGTATGTATGTATATTTTTATCTTAAATTTATTCTCCATTCTCTACATATGTTTTAAGCACTTAAGAAAAAAAACAAATCAGACACTTGCAATAGTGGACACATTTTCTTGGAAGGATAGAGAGTTATATAAGTAGAATTACAATAATCCTGTTCATTGATACCAGGGATAAAATATTCCTAGTTTTACTTTTTACTTTTTTGTCACAATGTTTTGACCAGAGAGATCTCCAATCATCTTCAGTTTATATTTATATATATATATGAGAAAGAACAAATGGAGTGTAGCAATTTCAACATGTTTTTGTTCTAATCTCTTATAATAAAAATAACATATATATATATATATATATATATATATATATATATGTATGTATTATACATAAGTTGATCAAGTACCAACACATTAGATTGAACTCATGAATCTTTATTAATCTCATAAGGGTGCTATCCGCTTATTCATAATGCTTCTGTCTCAGGTTCTAAATCACAGGCAGACAAAAGATTGTAGATCAATAACAATGAAGAAAAGAAAAATAGATTATATCTACCCATTTTTTTTTTATTAGAAGCAAATATAAAAGTGTTTGTTGTGTGTATATTTATAGTTATCCTAATTATATTGCACATGTAGATAAATAAAGAATTTATGAAATTAAAACAAAGATTGGGTTACACACACACATATTTTCTAACTTTAAATGTTATTTTTAATGGATACCCATATTTGAGTAGATGCTCCATTTATTTATTAAGCAGTATATTTATTTATATTCGTCTACCAGCCTGAATATTCGAGAAATCTTATTAAAGAAAAATTTACACTCTTTGGTAGGATTGAAACCTGCTTCCTTCCAAGCACAGTTATCAGTAAATTTGACATACTCTGAACAACTAAGGTACAGAGAACCAATTAGTCAGGTAAGGCCAAATTGTAGATTTAAGTAGAAACATCTCTTGTCATTGATCTGACAAAACTTTTCCTAGCTGCAAAATTTGTATCCAAATGTAAACAAAATGAATTTATATATCTTTTTTTTTTTTTACCTACACCAGTAGCACAACTCTGAGTCTCATGCAAAATGTAATCATTAGGTGCTGATTAAAATCTCGAGTGTGTGTGTGTCTATATATATATATATATATATATTTGGATTGATGTGAATTTGTGACTCTGGGTTTCACACTTTTGCAATCGTCAGACAAACTGATCAATTTTTTAAAATTTTGGGTTCATGTAAATTGCGTGTATTATGCATGTGTTATTATAGAAGTGGGGGTGATCGTTGTTGTGATGTCACTCATGCTAACGCAAACATAGATACATGTCCATACACCCATTGAGGTACGCAGACACACATACACACTCGCTTGTCTGCCAGGGCTCATACAGACATAAACATATGTGGACAGTATGGGATTTGATATATGTATGTATATGTCTGCTGTTGTCTATATGCATATGCATTTGTATGTTGAAATTCAAAAATCGGAAGTGTAGCAAAAATTTCTTGTGAATGTATACATGTCAGCAATCAGAGCGTCTTTCTATTTTTTCGCTGAATAATATTTCCTTGCATGCACGTATATACATGTGGTGGGAACTGTGTAAAATTATGATAGGTAAAAATTGCTATTATTTTAATTTTTAAAGTTTCTAATAAGTACTGCATATATATATATATATATATATATATATATATATATATATATATATATATATATATACACACACACACATATATATATATATATATATATATATATATATATATAGAGAGAGAGAGAGATTTTATTGTGTATTAAGTTCTCTCTGTATTAATAAATACATTGAGCTCTTTGTAGATCAGTTTTAATATTTTATATTACTCAAATTCACTTGGATCATACACTAATGGATTTATTACCTTTACTATATATACATATATATATTATATATGCATACATTGCTCATTGTAATTACTGGTATTATATTTATTTATAGTGAGTTTTCAATCACCACCTGATGATTAGATTGTACATGAAACTCAAAGTTGTGTTACTAGTAAGGAAAAAATATAAATTTATTATTAATATAAATTATTCACAAGTCAATGTATAAATCCACTTTATTATTGTACTGTAGTACAATTCTGAATAGAGAACTTGTAATCTTAA